TAGCGATGGCCTCCAAACCTAATAGCGATGGCCTCCAAACCTAATAGCGATGGCCTCCAACCTACTAGCGATGGCCTCCACTTTTCCGCTTTTCCGCAAGATACTGGCACCGCAGCTTGTGGCGGGGGTGACCAGAAACGTGAGCGGCTGCATGTTACAGCACAATGTCCTCGATGTCAAGGCCTCGAACGAAGGCGGGGCGAAATTGGAGGAGGAACTTTTCGAGAGCTTGGAATCTGGATGCATCAGCTCGGATACAAATGCAGTGGGCCCAGAAAGTCGTGACTTTCGAGGAGGGCCGTGCATAGCATGAGGACAGCGGGATAGATTCCAATTTGTGAATCCTCAACAGCAGTAGACGAAACCACTTTACTCGAAGTACCAACGCATGACCGTTGGCTTCATGGCGGTCCATCCAGCTCCACTTCTTATATTGATTGGAGGGTTTGGCACCTCCTAAGTTGGTACGGAGCGCGAAATCTATGTAGAGATACAGCCACGGCAAAAACCGGATTTCTGCATCAGGATCTATCAGGGTGCGGGACCATTCGGAAAGGGCCGACCATGCGGTGCCTACCAACTTCGAAGTTGCCAGTTGCGGATATGCCGGTAGCGGGCCAATGGTCGCCTCAGTGAGCGGCAGAGGATACTGTTCAGTGGGCACATCAATGGGCACCATGCGGGCTTCCTTAAGCACTGCTGCTGCACTGACTTGGAGGATGGTGTCATGAATTTTGTCACGCAGGGCGCGGGAGGCACCAATGGCCGCAACCGCTTTTTGCCAGAGCAGAAACACTTGATGGGGGTATCTCACGCTCATCTGTGCACAGAAATCTGCATGACTATTCCCTGTGAATGCCCAGATTTCGACCGGATCGGCCCCTTCAAGTTTCTGATGGCTGGCAATTTTGTGTACTTGAACACATCCAGCAGGCAGTGAACGAGCTAACGCTAGCAGGGGGGTCCCACAGGTCCGCATCTTTGCGCGGAGGCTGACAGTTGTCAGGGGCACTGAGGGCTGCTTGGAGGGTGTCCACAACTAGTGCGTTGTCACTCCATAGGCGCATTGGGGTGCCTTGTCGAACGGCAAATCTGAACGCACTCGTGGCGGCCAAAATCTCTGCTCGAAGGCTTGACTGTCGCCAGCCTGGCACTATTCCTTGGGCTAAAGGACACCATCCGTCTGGATCATTAGGATCTGCAGCAACTACTCCCCATCCAGCAATTCGTGTATGGGAACACGTGGGGTTGGCGCACGAACCATCAACGAAAATGTCAGTAGGGGCGAAGGGTAACTGTTCGAAGCTGCCCGTGAGGTCCGGCAGTGCAAGCAGTACTCGATGCAAATCCAGGACTTCGGGCGGGAGTCCTATCCAACCATGGTATGTCAAGCACTTCGGGAGATCCCCAGCTTGGGCTTTTCGTGTAACTGAAGGGTGTGGCCGGCAGCTCTCGAAATGCTGGCACTCCCAAAACCGATGGTGTTGTGAGTCTGGCTTGCCACAAAATTTGCAGGTCAGGGTATGGGCATTCTTATTATGTGCTTGGGAATCAGCAGTAAAGAACGTCCCATTGAGAGCTTTACGAAGCAAACCTAGCTTATCTTGTGCAAGGTGTTGGATCTTTTCCATGGTAAAGGTGGCATTTGCTCCTTCCAGGCCTTGGAATGTCTTACGATGGCATGCGCGCCGTTGGACTAGGTGTTGCCAGGCTCCATACAGTCTCTGCTGGACCTCGCTAGTGGACCCTCTCAGTAGGTCAATCGGCAGGCGCAGGTGGTCGAGCATCCAACCATGTCCAAGCCATTGCCAACCCAGGGCATGAAGGCGCTCGAGAAGTACATGGCAGGGGCCTGGGCGATGGAGCATTTCCCTCCAGTTATTCAGGATGTTATCAATTAACGAACACACTTTCTCGAGATCTGCATGTCGGCGGAAGGTGTGAACCGTCTGCAGCAGGGCATGGCACTCCGGATCTGTGAGGGGATGTTCGACAAGGGACAGGTGCACCATAGGACTAATACCGGGTGCATGCACCTTCAGACCACGGCATGCACCGGTTCGGAGCGATCTGAAGTGAACCTCTCCCAAGCTTGCGGCCGTGCAGCCGCTCAGGGCTTGCGGCCATCCCTTGATTTTGAGTGCATTAACTTTTTGCCTGTATGGCGCCGGAGAACGTGCTAGCGCAAGCCACACGGGGGGCATGGCAACTATCCTTTTACATAAAACATGGTTGGTGGTGCGTTTGCCATACTCCATATGTGCCCCCAGATCTCTAGTGGACGAAAGCAAGGGGAGTGCTTGATCACGGGCAGCAGCACGATCAACTGCGTCGGTAGACCAAAAGTAGGTCTTAGCTTGGTCAATTTGGAGGTCAAGCAGCTCACAGAAAGTTGTCATCAGGCTCAAGCCTTGTTCGGCGGTGCTAATGTCTGGTGCCGTGAGCTCAAGGTTGTCAACATATGACCAAAGCCTTACCGATGGGTGGCGAATGCGGAGCCACCTTGTGAGGGTGATGTTACACAACAGCATTGCTGTGCAGCTGAGTCCACACCCTTCGGCAAACCCCGTGGTGGAGGACAGCTGGGGGCCTATGGTGCCGCGGACGCTAAAGGCTCGTGTCATCTGTCCGAGCGCCGCATTCCAGGCCCGGATGATCGGCTTTGGTAATCCGAGATGGAGGCCTATCGCAAGCAGGGGAATTCTTGGCAGTAAATTAAACGCCTTGACTAAATCGGCGACAACTCCGGCTAATGGCACACTATCAAGGTGGGCTTCTTCAAGATGAACTTGTACGCTCAGCCACAAATCGGTGCATGACTTACCCGGGACATTGCCTGTGATTAGATCAGGAACGTACTTCCCCAGGAATGCGAGGGTTTCCCGTGCACGAATGGATGACCATGTTCGGTAAACTATCGAAAAAACCGTGAGCGGGCGGTATTGGCTTGCCCTCCATGCACCTGGGATCTTCTCTAATGCATGGACATGACCTGTGACGACTTGAGCCGGCCAGGCGGATGTGCCTGTCTCTACTGCTTGCAAAATGGCAAGGATCGGCTCTACATGGCTGCGAGGCAATGCAAGCAAATCCTGCTTGGACACTCCATCTGGACCGATGGCGGCACAGGCTTTCTTTTTCCGGACGGCATCTTGCCAAGTGTCAAATGTGATTGGGGTGTATTGCATCTGTGGCGGATCAGGAAACACATGTTGCACGAAATCAACAATGGGCTCCCATTTGGTGTCAGGGGTGTTCCGGTGTCGATCCCATCTGGCCATCCATTCCTTTTGGAATGCGGCATAGATTTCTTCAAGATCGGTGACTGGGCTTGACTGCGCAATGCTGTCACCCTCTTGGAGGGGTGGCATGTGCTGGAGCCACAACTTCCCAGAGGGGCATTCCAACACCAAAACCCCCCCGATATCTCCAAACCAACACCTTCACCCCTTTGGCAAGATTGACCCTTGCAGTGCTTAAAGCTTTTCAAAGCAACCAAAATACACCAGGACCAGCCAGCACATACAAACAGCACATTTTCAAGCCACCGCAAGAGCGCCAGCTTCCGGGGTGAAACTTCTCAGAGTCAAGGCCTGGCAACAAAAAGTCCAAACTTTCAAGCTGCAACCGCGGCTGCAACATATGAAGCACATATGAAGCACTGAGCAACATACAATCTAAAACAAGAACACATTTCTACAACATTGGAACCTAGACATGTTCCTAGGCATGGACATGCCCCTGACATGAACACGAGGAAAACCATGAACACCAATGAACCATATGTGAACATAAACAAACATGAACACATGTGAACCGTGAAATAACATGAACACATGCACTGGAACAAGAACGCATGAACAAACAAACACATGCAAATTTTACCACATGGCATGGCTGCCTGAACACTCACAGACACATGTTGGGGGAACTGTTTAACACACGTTGCGCGCCTGAAATCTACGCAGTTGGCT